TCTATTGAAAAAAGTTTTTTTTCTTGAGCTATGTTTTTAATTGTCTAATGAGTTTATTGAATGACTTTTATGAGGTAAATCTATAATTTCTCTCAAATCTTTCTTAGTTTGAGTGATTACATGAGACATGATTAGTTTATTCATGATAGTTTATTTAGAAATTAGTAAAAGGAAAAAATGGTATAAGGTATTCTTGAACTGAGAAACTACAATGAGAATAAGGAGCTACAACACACAAGATTAAAAATGCCAACATGGTATTTATTGTTTAAATTTGGAAATATGAAATATGAATGTGAAAAATGAAATGTAAAACTTTATGACAAAGCATATTGCGATTTAAAGGACAGAAGATGCACTACAATGTTCATCAACTAAAAATGACTGACTAAAAGATTGATTCTTCGAATTTAAGAATTTATTTTAAATCAAAATTCATAGGGATCATGCAAAACAAAACCGCAAAAAGAATCAATTACTACTATCCACAAGTTTCCTACGCCACATGAGGCCTTGCTTGCATCAAAGTCAAAGTGGGTGCGTCTTCAGGTTCGAAGTAAACAAGCGAGATGTGACACTCATTCATTAATTTCACTATCGATTAATATTAATATTTATACTAAATGTATTATTTATTTGTTTACATTTCTATAAATTAAAAAATGCAATGAAAATGCAATGAAAACACAAAAATACAGCTTGTTTTTCCGAGTTCTTTATTACAAAGAAGATCAACTTGTGGCAGTTAAACTGGATGTTCGGTTATGGCTAAACTTGAAGACATGCGCTGCGGTGCTCTGGACTGCAGCTGCGAACCGGCGTTTCTTTAAACAGAGACCCTCGTTTATTCCTAAATAATAATAAAAATAATCATGTTAAATAAAACCGAATTCATGATACTCAGATCCACAAACCTGTGTTAGAATCAGAATCACGACAAACCCCTTCCAACGCCTTCCCGTCCAGATCCAATATATAGCCTACCATATCTTTACTATTTGTATTATTTGAAGTAAACATTATAAAATTCGTAGACCTACACCACAAAACTATAGTTGAGGATAAATTATTTGAAATTGGCCGATTCCAGCATTATGGGCGTGACATTTGCAGTCAAAACCTGAAATATAAATTCTCAGAAAATGCATTTAGGCTATTTAAACCTCTGTTTATATATGGATGTCCTCCTGGACATCTTCCCAGGAAGGTGTTCCGGGCATGTCCCCCCGGGAGGAGACCCCGGGGAAGACCCAGGACACGCTATGTCTCCCAGCTCAGTGTCCCCCCTGAAGAGCTGGAGGAAATGTCTAGGGAGAGGGAAGTCTGGGCATCTCTGCTTAGACTGCTGCCCCCGCAGGATTCAAGTCTATTACTTTCTCCATTGAAAGAAAAAGAAAAACAACTGAAAGAAAGAAAAATGTATGGAGAGAGAAGTTTGGCTCAAATGCTCCTCCAGAGTGTGACTTACTAAGTCATGCAGTCTCTTTTCCAATGTCTCAATGTCTGGATCATTGGAAAAGAGACTGCGTGACTTAATTTAGTCACTAGGTAGCATAAGTGCTGGATTTTGAAACTACACTCTGGAAAAGGAAAGTGAAAGTGGGGCCTAGATAAGGCGGAGAAGGTGAGCAATTCACGGTGGCCACAGGCTCCGGAGGCCTTTGAGAGCGGCGCTTCTTTTTGCACGGTCCTATGAAGGGCGGATTGATAGCTTCTGGGTTGAAAACTTTGAGTCGAACCCACAGGATCAACATCAGAATTTCGTCGCAGAGCTAGCAGCCCCCCAACGAGAAAGTGAACGCTGGGTGTTCCTGGCCCAGGCAGACAGTGCAGATCACATGGCGGTCTCCGACGCTGAGCGGGGATCTGCACGAGCCGCAGGAAGTGTGAGGCATCTTGAAAAAGACGTCTCGCTTCTCTTTTAGAAAAGTGGAGTTGCAGCAGTGAACACACACAGGAGATGTTCAGAGCTCAGAGAGGATATGTCGCCGGATAGCGTAGCTCGCACTGATGGCTTGAAGGCACCGAAGATGGCCAGCTTCTTCAGGCGCCGTCCCTCCTCAGACGGCGGCAGCTTCTCTCGGAGTCCAGCGTAAGAGCTTCACTGAAGAGATGAAAATCAGGGAAACAGCCTCCAAGCCAAGCTTATATACGTTAAGCCACGTCCATTCTGGCAGGCTAAGACGTGATGAGGGCGCAAGCACCCTTCATTGGACGTGACTTCAGGCCAGGCGGTAGGCTGCTGCAGTTGCCACAGGGCAGCCAATGAGCACACTAGACAGCCTGCTCTAGGTAGCTGCTGCACTGCGTTGACAATGAATACTGTATCAAATTTATAGACAAGTAGTTCAGGCATGGTTTTGTAGGGAATTACAAACCTGCACACATGTATTCAAACGCACATAACTATAGAATCAATTCAATGTGCATGTGAACGCCATCAGCGCTTATCACAGGTTCGCGTTTAAAGTCTGTTTCACAAACGAACAAACGATCTCGGACCGCAGCAAACGAGCCCAGTGTAAAAGCCCCCTTATTTTCTCATTTTATTTATTTATTTGTCATTTCTAAGGGTCATGTTCCCTGCCGATTTGTTCGTTCTTAATCAGTAAACCAAACGGTGAAGCTGTGGGTTAGAATTAGTCTGAACTTTATTTATTTACAGGTGACGTGATTGTGTTGACAAATGAAATCGGTTACAGGCCGCGGTTTGTGTTAAAAATCTTAAAGGAGGAGTCGATTCCCCTTAATGGAATCTCAATTCCAATTTTCTCAATTCACGCCTCGGAATCGATTCCCAGTCCTAGTGTTCACATTTGAGTTTACGCCATAAGGAAGCATCGCGTTTAAGGAACGCAAATCATTTGTACAAAAACTATTTAAAACGTGTGATCCTCCGATCACAATTTGTATCCAGATAGCATAACTTGCTCGTCATTCAACAATTGAAGCGATGCGAAGTTCAATCAGGGACACAAATGTTTTGAGCTAAGCACTCACAGAGTTGACCCGGCAGATGTTGAGAGTGTGGATCAGCCGGGACTGAATCTGCAGCGTGGCTTAACTTACGGCCTGTTGCGGCGGCCTGACGCTGGAGGAAGGTCCGTTCCTTTGCATTAAGAGGGCAGCATTGCCTTGTCCATTTCTTTATGGCAGGAATTATTGAATGGTCCGATTTAAAGGGTACATATCATGCTTTTAAATCATTCATTTTTACTAATTTTTACTCATTTTTACTAATAAATCATACATTTGTGGTCTATATAAAGCATAACTGCAATGCTTGGGTCTGAATTCCTCATTATTATAGCTCCTCCCTTTTCTGATGTGCGTCTGTGAGCGACCCGTTTCAAAGCAGCCCCTCACACTCGGTTCAACTCCCCGCGTTCGGCCATTATTGTAGTTTGATAAGAGATATACAATTATATACTATAGCTTCAAAGAACATTTTTAGTCACTCGTTAACAAAATGTCAACAACGGAAGACTTGTCCATCAAGCCTTACATATTCGAGCCAGAGCGAGCGATTTGAAAAAGACGACGACGAACCTGCAGAACAACGTCTTCATATGGATGCAGTGGTATGTAAGTTAAGTAAAGTTAACTATGTTGTGTTATTAGTGAAAGTCGACTATTTCTCTTGTTAAAACAAGCACACTGACAAGATAAATGACTACGGTCCAATCTTACCACTAAAAATCTGTATTAATAATAATATAATAACTTATAATAACTAGAAAAGCATCAGAAAGGTTGAAAAATATGACCAAAACAGAATATAAAGATATAAATGAAGCACCTGAAGAGAATAATTTCATCTTTTCTGTACTTATAAACAGTCCAAATATACAACAAAATGCATTTAAGGGCTAAAAAAGTGGATTTTGCATGATATGTCCCCTTTAAAGAAATACGCATAAGGAGATTGTGGATGTTTCACCCGCGGTGGCGAGGACCCGTTTGTTTGGCCTGATGCCCACAAGAAAATACCGGGTTGCGGCAAAGATTCCCAATTCTGAAGGACGGAAGATTCTTTATCGAAACTGGAAGAGCTAGATTCGGACATGGCCAAATGCTGCAAACTGTCAATGGATCGAGGTAAGACTGCTGAGTCTATTTGTACCCTCTTATCATTGATTGCTGATTGCTGTCCACTCGTGTTAATTATCGAACGTGCTCCTCCCGAACTTAGTTAATAAAAGTTCATTAAGAGACATTCATATACATACCATGTCGCATACCATGTTGAATCATTTCAAATTGGTTTCTTGAACATGACAATGAATTCACTGTACTAAAATGGTCCCCACAGTCACCAGATCTCAACCCAATAGAGCATCTTTGGGTGGTGGAACAGGAACTTCGTGCCCTGGATGTGCACCCCACAAATCTCCATCAACTGCAAGATGCTGTCCTATCAATATGGGCCAACATTTCTAAATAATGTTTTCAGCACCTTGTTGAATCAATGCCACATAGAATTAAGGCAGTTCTGAAGGCGAAACGGGGTCAAACACAGTATTATGGTGGTCCTTATAAGCCTTTAGGTGTGTGTACTTAAGCAGGACTATGGTGCTATTTTCTTCTAGAAACAAACTTTGTTTGTTTGTTTCCTCTTTTACTAAATAATTTGCTTTTGCAAAAGTCAAATCTAGTCAGGTTTCATTATAAGTCGCTTTATACAATACAGACTGTTTCAAAGCAGCTGACATCACATGCATACCCACGTGCAGGAAGCAATATCACTTCCAATATAACAAAATTTTCACCAGTCACAAGAATCAGTGTACTTTTCTTTCAGGATTTTTAGAGCCCATTTTGGTCCCTAATTACAGCATTCACACAGAGCTGGATGACTCACTGTTGAATTCACTGTTTTCTTCTTGTCTCATGTTTCTGTTGTTGTCCTTGTGGGTGTGTGCAAGTGGGCATTACCACTCCTTTCAGTTGATCAGCGCTCCAACTGATCACACTCTACCCACCAGCTGCAGCCCATTCACTCGCCTATAATATCTCACCGTATTCTCCTCTCCTTGTCAGATCCTTGTGTGAAGTCCCTCTAGTGTGTTGGTCCTGATTCTGTCGGCGTTTCAGATCGTGTCTTGTTCCTGTCTTCGTTTCATTGGATTACTCCCGGTATTGGATTACTTCACCACTCATCACACTTCACCTCACCACTCTTCAACCGGACGCCTGATCATCTTGTCCCTGCGTCACCAGTTGTGTGTGTGTTCTGACCTGGAGTGTTCTTCCTATAAACAGTGTTTACTTGCATCCTTGCCTCCGTGTGTTTGCCCGTGACAGGCAGGGGCCAACATGAGAATTCACTCTAGCCAAATAAGAAAAGAAAAAAAAAATTCAACAAGGATCATTTGGTTTAAATGCCTCCTTCATAAATCTCACTGTGTTTTGTAGGGAATGGAGAGAGGAAAGGAAGAAAAGGCACCAGCAGACAGTCATGTGTTTGAAGACAGGGAGCTGGAGAAACACATCACTCCTCAAACTCTAAAACCAAAGATCAAGCAGAACCCTCTCTATTCCCACATCAACGTCATCCACATGGAGAACAAGTCCAAACCATCCTGGACCATCCAGGACTACGACAGACAGACTGCACACGGTCAGCTGGCAGACTATATGAAGGTACATCTGCCCATACATGCACAGACAAATGCACATATTACAATTTGAATAACATTGTATTATAAGAACATGATATGATAAGGGTTGGGACAGTTACTTTTAAAATGTATTCCACTACATGTTACAGAGTACATGCTGCAAAATATAATTTGTAACGTATTAGATTACAAGGTAAGTAATCTAATTCTTTGGATTACTTTTCCAACAGTGGTAGATTTTTTAAATCTGATCTTTTAAGTAGCTATAACAAAAACTTGAGTGTATAAAACAACTTTTTCTGAACACATGTGGTTTATTTTTGTATAATTATATTTTGTATATTATTTGTAGCCTTTTATACATTGCTTAAGTTGAATGCATTCATCATTTAAAACATTCTTTGTTAAAACAGATTCATGTTTAATCTATCTGAGCATTTGAATCTGTTTTCTGGTAAACTATTCATAGAAACATGCAATAATGCCTCTTTGTAATTGCAGTTGAATTTACTCAATGACATCTTAACAACATCAAACAAATGACAATAAAATTCAATCCCTTTAGTAATGTCAATACTTTCAATGTAAATTATCAATCATATCAATTGTATCTATAACTGAATACAGTTACTCATATTTTGCTTTTAAAAAAATAAACTCTAATTTTGTGGGAAGCAGGACGAGGCCAGTGGGCAGGATTGATAATGAGCCTCACCTGCTCATGTCTCGAGTTTCTCATGGAGGAGCTTCGAAAACAGAAAAGGAGGCTTGAACTTTTCCATACTTTAATAATAAAACAAATCCAAAACAATAGTAAAGCAGCAGGACCACACGGATGACTTTGGAGAGGTGTTCACTTCATGGATGAATCCCAGGGCAGATGGGAGACAGCGTGCATGGCGCTGTGTGGGTGAGCAGTTCGGTGATGTCAACGTTGTGGAACGAACAGAGGTGCATTTTATTGATGGCATTTTGAATGTACAGAGATACCGTGGCGTGATCCTTAGGCCAATCGTTGTGCCATTCATCCACGACCATCACCTCATGTTACAGCATGGTAATGCACAGCCCCATGTTGGAGGATCTGTAAACAATTGCTCGAAAGCTGAACACATCCCAGTTCACGAGTTCACACTTACATACAATTTTGAGTGAGTAAGATTCAATGCGTATTTGGTGTGCTGTCCGGAGGGAGGGCTCCGAGCTCGGAATTCTGCCCGAACCCAGAGTACTCCCCCCGTATGTAAGTGATTTTTTTTTTAGAAAGAGGAGTGTAGAGAACTAGGAGTGTGGAGAAGGGGTGGAGGAGGGATGCTGCAAACTGTCAAGGGATCGAGGTAAGACTGCTGAGTCTATATACCCTCTTATCATTGGTTGCTGATTGCCGTCCACTCGTGTTAATTATCTGAACGTGCTCCTCCCGAACTTAGTTAATAAAACTTAATTTCACGAGTTCACACTTACATATAATTTTGAGTGAGTAAGATTCAATGCGTATTTGGCGTGCTGTCCGGAGGGAGGGCTCCGAGCTCGGAATTCTGCCCAAACCCAGAGTACTCCCCCCAAAAGACTAATGAGCAGAGGACAGCCGCCGGACTAAAGACCCCCCAAAGAGTGCCGAGAGTGGCGGGCTGGCATCTCGAGAAGGGGCCTGGATGCTTTGTTCAGGGAGGCCCGTGATGGTGGCTCGCTGCCTGGACTGACAGCCCTTGTTGACTGCGAACGAGGTGTGGTTGTAGTGTACTTGTCCAGGAGGTTTTCACGCTGCATCCGCTGTGAAACCAACATGCTCGCTGAAATGAAAGAAAAAACGTGAGTGCTCTACCGGGAACTTTCTCGCTCCATCCGCTTTGAGACAAATGTTCGCTGGATGGAAAGAGGAAAACTGAAAAGTGGAAAAAAATGAGTGTTTGCCCAGGAGATTTTCTTACACTGCATCCGCTGTGAGATCAACTGCTCACTGGATTAAAGAGAAAATATAAGTGCGCTACTGGGAAAGCTCTCACTCTGTCCGCTGTGAAACCAATTCTCACTGGACTGAAAGAGGAAGACTGAAAAAGAGAAAAATGAGTGCTTGTCCAGGAGATTTTCTCGTACTATGTCCGCTGTGAGACCAACTGCTCTCTGGATGAAAGAGAAAATGTAAGAGCTCTACTGGGAAAGCTCTCACTCCGTCCGCTGTGAGACCAATGCTCACTGGATGGAAAGAGGAAGAAGACTGGAAAGAGAAAAAATGAGTGCTTGTCCAGGAGATTTTCTCATACTCCGTCCGCTGTGAGACCAACTGCTCGCTGGATGAAAGAGAAAATGTAAGAGCTCTACTGGGAAAGCTCTCACTCCGTCCGCTGTGAGACCAATGCTCACTGGATGGAAAGAGGAAGAAGACTGGAAAGAGAAAAAATGAGTGCTTGTCCAGGAGATTTTCTCATACTCCGTCCGCTGAGACCAACTGCTCGTTGGATGAAAGAGAAAATGTAAGAGCTCTACTGGGAAAACTCTCACTCCATCTGCTATGAGACCAATGCTCACTGGACGGAAAGAGGAAGACTGAAAAGAGAAAAATGAGTGCTTTTCCAGGAGATTTTCTCGTACTCCGCCCGCTGTGAGACCAACTGCTCGCTGGATGAAAGAGAAAATGTAAGTGCTCTACTGGGAAAGCTCTCACTCTGTCCGCTGTGAGACCAATGTTCACTGGACGGAAAGAGGAAACCTGAAAAGAGGAAAAATGAGTGCTTGCCCTGGAGATTTTCTCACACTGCATCCACTGAGACCAACTGCTTGCTGGATGAAAAAGAAAAATGTCAGTGCTCCACTGGGAACGCACTCACTCCTCTCACAAAGTGATGGCGGTTTCTGAGTGTCTAAGAAAACGTAAAACTAGTTTAAACATTGCATTGAGTGTGTGAGCAGAACTGAGGGGCTGGTAGCCTGTGCGGAAAGCCTGAATACATTTGATGAGAATGTCCAGTGTTATGTGTTGTCCGGCGTCGGGGCAGGTGGGCTGGGATCTTAGAATCCTTTTAATCAGGGTTTATGAATTGTTTATCTTCACAGAAGGAGTGCCGTACATCAGGTTATGGAAAAACGGGATGCCGCTCAGATAACCTTTAATGGACCCCATTTGTAGGCTCTTAATGATATTAAGGTAGAAGATAAAAGATTTTATTGAAAAGAGAAAAATCAGGGAAAGGCTAGTTATAAGAGAAATTTCTATCGTTTTCTTTCTTTACATTATCTCAAAGCAGTAACATAGGATTGAAGGGTCCTGGGAGATACTGCTTGGAGGATAACTTTGATGCATGCAACGTCCGCTTGGAGCCCAATGCTTGCTGGACAGAGAAAATAATCAGGGGTTTTAGCAGGAGTAATAATTCTGAATAGTGATGTACTGGAGAGAAAACATCACTGTCATAGCAGTGTAAAAATTAGCCAAAGAAACAGAGATCCTGTGGGAGCAGAAGAGACGTCACTGCTGTAGCAGTGTAGAAAATTAGCCAGAGAAAACAGCTGTGGCAGTGTAGAAAATTAGCCAGAGAAAGAGAGCTCATGTGGAAGACGAGGAGGCGTAACTGCTGGGGCAGTGTAGAAAATTAGCCAGAGAAACAGAGCTCCTGTGGGAGCGGAGGAGACGTCGCTGCTGTGGCAGTGTAGACAATTAGCCAGGGAAACAGAGCTCCAGTGAGAGCAGAGGAGATGTCACTGCTGTGGCAGTAAGAAAATTAGCCAGAGAAAGAGAGCTCCTGTGGGAGCCGAGGAGACGTCACTGCTGGGGCAGTGAAGAAAATTAGCCAGAGAAAGAGAGCTCTTGTGGGAGGAGAGTAGACATCACTGTTGTGGCAGTGTAGAAAATTAGCCAGAGAAACAGAGATCTTTCCTGAGCAGAGTATAATTATACGGTACGATACAAAAGATACAGTGTTTGATATGGGATAAAAAAATAATGGGCAGTGTATAAAATGTAAACTAATGATTAATTATTTTAATATTTCGTGAATCGTTGATATACTACGCCTGCGCGCGCCTCCTCCTCAGTTGCTTCTGTAACCTGACACTCGTTTGAATCTCTCTTGTTCGGAGATTCATCAGAAACACACCAGAACACAAGGCCATGTTTGGTGCACTTTAAATAGAGGTAAGAAATGGTTTTAAATCCCGTATAGGCCAACTGCCGCCAAGCATTTTAGCTTTATTTATTTCTGTATTCTGTTGCCTATTCATCGTCGTCCTGAGGCTAACATTGGGCAGCCCATCACTAAATAATAATTTCTGAAAAATAAAAATGTAACTGTCATTAGTTACTGTTCTCACATATTATCACATACCCATTCTCAGTGGCGTTTTCTACCAGATGCCAAGGGAAGTCAGGCATCCAATCTCGTCCGACAATCACTATTATCGTAAATAAAACATTTTATTTGACACACAGTGATATTTGTGTTTGGCCTCTCATTTTACGTGATTGATTATTGATTAAGCGTGATCAATGGACAGCGTAGGCACAAGCTGAGGTTCGGCGCCCTTTAAGTTCACGTGCAATGCAAGTGATTGTGCCAGTGCCTTATTATTGTCATGATCCTGGTTCTTCTCTCTTTCTCTGTGTCCCTCTTGTGGCCGTTTGTTCACTCTCTCTCTCTCTTTCTGGCATTACGCCCTCAGGATCTCATTATCTCATCTCTTTCAGCTGATGCTACTCTTCCTATTATCTGTGCTGGTCGGCACCAGCTGTTTCCATTCTTCCCCTGATTGTTTCTCCTTCTTCTAGCGCTTTCTGTCCCTAGATCCTTGTCGGATTATTCTATGTTGTGGCTTAATACTGACGCCGGAATTATCTCACTCTACTTTGTCCTGTCCTGTCCTGGTGTGAGCTGTATTCCTACCTGCATATATTACTGTGTGGTTTTGCTCTCTGACTTCAGTGCTGCACTGGAAGCTGTGGTCCTCTGCCTCGCCACCAACCTACTGCTGACCTCACCTCATTCACGGGAGGTTCGGGGTTTCTCTGCCTAGCGAGTCGCCGTCCGT